GATTAGGAAGTTAGTCACTTAAACATGCTTTACCCATAGGTAGGTGTTTCTGCAGGATTGCAAGTTGAAATGCTTAATTTTGTTAGCCACAAAAATAACGTGGCTGTGGTTGTGTAACTTGGTCTCCTCACCAGACAGCCCTGCAGATTTAGTGCCATGCTTGAGAGTCACGTTTGGGTATTTTGGAACAAAATTAAGATAGGTTTAAAGGGAATTATATTATTTCCCCACCCTCCTGGCCACAACCCGCCCTTTTTTTGTACAGCAAGTGGGTTGCTTTTGACAAACCTGTAGCAAGAATGCCTTTTTGTTTGTCCCTTTTGCAGAAGAAAGGCAAATAGGTCTTCTCAGATGGAGCAGGGAAGAGACTTGTCTCCACAGAGGAGCCACCACTGCAACGGCAGAGCCCTGGACTTGATGCCCTGCTGCCACTGATGACGGGTGGTGGTAATAGGGCTTTAGGCAATATTTTATGGGATAACGTAGCATTTGAATTCAGCTAGGAGTAATGAACATTTATATCATCAAAATAATAAAAAGTGCATCTGCTGTAGATGCATATGTTCGATGCGTCCATCCCCAATGCCATACAATTAAGAATATTGGGAGAAGACATATCTATTGAGCATGCTCTGTGCAGTTCAATCCAGGCTCCCCACTGCTCCAGTCAGCTGGAGCCATCTGCCAGATGACCTGGGGCCTCTTGGATGTAGGGCCCTGAAGTCCAGCCACAATTGACCCAATGATTCTGAATAGGCAGGTGTAGGATTGCACTGTGGCAGGGCTAGATAGAGGAGGCAGAAGCACTCAGATAGTGACCTGGTTCATACGTACAGTAGTCTTGATCTAACTCATAAATCTGCACTACAAATCCCAGGAGCAGGACCGATAAGGCAGTCCTGTCCTATCTTCACACGATGTATAATTTCAGCCTCATTTGTACAGTAAATGTATCCTTGCCCTTCCTTAAAGTAAGGAAGATCTCTTGCTATGGGGCTAGAGATGACATTACTGTATTCTATTCTCTTTAACTTTCAATTTTACCCAGAACTCTTCTGAAGCAAACTAGATCTTGCTCAGAAACAATCTGATTGACAGGGTGCAAATATGGACTGAAGGATCTTTGTGCCTAAGACTCCTCAAACTGGCAACTTGAAAGATCACCTTTCCACACACCCATTATGTTTATCTAGACCCATCCCACCAGGATAAGGAGAGTGATTGGTGGTTGTTTTCCCACCAGCAGAAGGCAATCAATGAGAAGGGAAATGCATCTCCTTGAGGATGCCCTTATAATGACTGACTGATGGATAAACACTACTTCAGTGCTGATACAACTAAGGGTAACCTATAACTCTCATTCATAAGCTGGGAAGCGGAAGGCAACATCATGGAAATACAGAAATAAAACAAATTCTTGCTAGGCTAGGTTTGTGCCATTATTAGGTACAAGTGGGGTGAGGCCTGAAGAAATATAATTACTTAAACTGGTAATATGAAGACATGCTGCAAAAAAAGCTGAAAATTGCCCAAGAAAAAATTATCACTTTTATCATTCCCCGATGTTCTTTAAATGCTAAACTCTTACAAACAATAAGATAATTGGAAAGACTTGCCATCTCATAACATAACAAGAACACTGTATCTATTGCCTTGATCTCCCACATCTATTCTGAAAACATAAACCCCTTCTTTCCTATGGCAGCAGATCTTTCTTCACTTCAGGCTTTTGAGAGAAGGAAAAAACCCACAGTGTCACTATATGAACACAGAAATCACCTTTTCAGAATGTATTGAATGAGACTGCCTGTCTAAACTGTATCAATGAATCAATTTTTATCTTCTGAATATTTTATGCACTGATGCATCTGCATCCCATTATAAATTTTACACAGAATCCAAAATTAATACAAAGAATGGATAAAGCAGCAACCTTAAAACAAAATGTATACAAATGCAAATAAAGTAAAAATGTTTCAACAAACCATCACGATGTAAAAAAAGATGTTGAGACCTTAGAAAAAGTACAGAGAAGAGCAACAAAGATGATTAGGGGACTGGAGGCTAAAACATATAAAGAATGGTTGCTGGAATTGGGTATGTCTAGTTTAACGAAGAGAAGAACAAGGGGGGACATGATAGCAGTGTTCCAATATCTCAGGGGGTTCCACAAAGAAGATGGAGTCAAGCTATTCTCCAAAGCACCTGAAGACAGGACAAGCAAAGACCTTTAAATTGCAGTCTCTCTGCAAATGGTTCCATGAGGGCTCTTTTCATAGTTGCAAATGAGTGCAATGTTACCATGTTAGTCTTATTTTGCTGTATGTTGAGATACTGTATGTTCAATGCTAATAGCTGGCTTAACATGAGAATACTGTGCAAAGGGAAAACTTGACAACAGTACCCAGTATACAAGGAGGGATGTGGGCAGACTCAGCCCTGTGTGTCTCTCCCAGGCCCCTTTTCTTTACCTCACCAGCCCTGCCAAAAGTGCTCTACA